TGCTCTCTGCATATGAGGTATTATCTAAAAATATATTGAATGTTTAATTAAAAAATTAAAAGTAGTAAAAGACATAGTGCCATAAATCTCCCTCAAAATACTTCTCACTACGGCTTTGAACTCACTTAGCCCATCATTCTTGCTGGTTTCTGAAGCAATTCTGGAGGTCCTCTTTTGTGAGTGTCTTTAGTTGTGTTGTGGTGGGTGCCTCAATGTCTTGAATCAATTCAAGACATTTGCCTTTCATGGTTGTTTTGACTCTGGGAAAGAGCCATAATTTTCAGGGTGCCAGATCCAGTGAATAAGGTGGATGAGGGCACATTGTAATGTTTTTACAAGTCTGTCTTTTCCTCAAATGGTACTTGGCAGCAGCATTCACTGTATTTTTTATCACAACACAGAAAGACACTCACAAAAGAGAACTTCCATGCCTGCTTAAGAAAGTGGCGAGAACATGGAATAAATGTGTCAAAGTGATGGGGAATGCTTTGAGGGGGATTAAAAGCAATGTGTTTTTCACTGTAATAAATTTAAAAAATTTAAACATTCCCTGCAAATATCGGTCACTCCTCATATAAACATATCTCAGTGGGGAAGAAAGCAGACAAAGCCTAGCATGCCCATTTTTTCTTCCCAACTCATGAATCAGACAGTTTACTCCTTTTTCTATTGTTGGGGATGGATGGAGGATAATTGAAGGCTCCTAGGGATGTTCACGCATTAGAGGTTGTTCCAAGGAGAAACCTGAGACAAGAGAAAGGATATCCCCCTAACTCAGGTATAATGCCTGAAATTTTCAACTTGATGTCTAGAGCTACCCCTTTGCACCTCGCCCTTTTGCTGCCTCCAAGTGGTTGCAAGAACATCCTGCAATAGTGAGAAGGCGCTGTGGCAGCCTTATGGGGAAGGATGGCACAGAACATCACAAGTTAAAAGAGCATGACAAACAAAAGTCTAACCAGAAATTTAGCTTCACACCACTATCACTTCTTTTAGAAGTTTAACAATTTGACCCCAAATTAGTATTTATGTACTCAGATACACTTGAATACAACAGAAACTGTCTAACTGACCACCACTTATGCAGTTTGCAGGATTAGTCAATGCTGTCTCTCTGTTAGTTTTACTGACAGTTGGGTGCTGGCAGGTAGTATAGTTTTCCAGAGCACACCACACACTTCTTGTACTTCTCCACATGCTTTCCAACAATTGTATCATTCCACCTGTACTTGTTATTGCATGCATTTAATTAGCTATTGTATAAACTGTTGAAACATTAGTAGGAAGAGGAAGCTATTTTATTGAAAATCATCTTAAACCTTTTGATAGACTATATAAAGGCAAGTTACTAAAAATGCATGCTGTTCAATTATGCATGAATGAGACAACTCTAAAAGATTGGGATCATCATACAAAGCTAGGATTCTGCACTCTAACTACTTTGCCAGTCTCTGAGTGATTGCAAGAACATGCTGCAGCAATGAGAACCCATTTATAGCTGACAGTGTGGCAGCCAGATGGGGATTTACTTGCTTCAACTAGATGATCATGTGCATTAATTATGGATTTGGTATGCAAGACAGTGTTCTGCTCATGAACTGGGATTTCCATTTGAACATAAACTACATGGTCAACATGAAATGAATATGATCTAAAATAATCAAAGTGTGTTTAGCCTGATGGTGCTCTGTGACACTCTTGGTCAGTCTCAGTGAGTACTAGTAATGTTTTAAGAAAGAATGTATCCAGGGCCAGGGATTAGCTCAGTGGTTCCACTGCCTGCCTTGCAAGCACAAGGACTCGAGTTCGATCCCCTGTACCAAAAAAAAAAAAAAGAATGTATCCATCAGAAGGGCTTGGTGGTGCTAGTGTTGGAGAGAGAAGAAGAAAAAGAAGGAGAAGGAGAAGGAGAAGGAGAAGGAGAAGGAGAAGGAGAAGGAGAAGGAGAAGGAGAAGGAGAAGGAGAAGGAGAAGGAGAAGGAG